GTGTTTGCCATCGGGGTTGGGTTTTCGTCGCTTGGCAACGACGTTGTAAAACAAGCCAATTCCCTTCGTGAGCTCGGCAACCAGGTTACCGTTCGTTTTTGTTTACCCCGTTTTTTTTTTGGCGGTAACCATAATGGTGGTCGAGTAGATCATGTTGTGCGGGGTGGAGAACCCTCACTCCGCGCAAGGGGGATGATCGCACCACGTTGTGTTAAAATGGTCAAGCACCCTCGAGGCAGTTACACAGTGCTTACAACTGTCTCTGGAAGTGAAAGCACCAGAAAATAAATTAATTCATACGCAGCTGTCATCCGTACGCAAGGAAGTAAGCACAAGATGCCGAACACCCTTAGCAGGATGCAGCGCACCCTTCATGCGACTCGCCGAATATCTCACGGCGCTTCGCGCTTGGTGATGTGAGAGCCTGGTCCGGTGAGAACCCGGCGTGCTCCATCCCGGCTTTGTAGGGATGCGAGGTCAATGGTCTAACGACTACGGCATGCATGACTATGAGTACCCCCCCCCCCACCCCCACCCTGCCGACTCTGGCGCTGCCCCGCACAGTACATGTCGTGAACCACGATATGCTGTCTGCTGTACGAGGTTGATGGCGCTCTCCGCTGCCTCCGGTGAGGGCTTGCGAAGTTTAAGAAATGAAATTTAAGAGAGTCAGCAAGATCCTGCTGCACGAAAAAATAAGAAAACTGACATAAGAAATTGGACAACGTGCCCTGAGTCTTCAGCCTACAACAAGACTTTGAGGCTGGACCGTAATTTCGGCGTTTCTGAAACACGGGCGCTACAAAGACTCTAGTCTAATCTATGCTCGACGGTGGTAACGAAGAGAGAAATCAAACTGATATCCTGACACGACGAGTCTACTGCGGGCCCGTAGAGAATGTGCCACATGGTGTTGTTCTCTGTTGGCTTCTTGACGGAGGATCGAAGAAGCCGCAAACGTTGCCCCAAACAAGAAACAAGCTTCATAAGTAAGTGAATGCGCGGTGGGTGCGTTCTGTTTATTACTGGTTGCTGTCGACTTGTCGTGATTTGCTGCTTGTTGCTGCCCCTGCCGCCGCCCACGCCTCTTCCACAGCTAAAGATCGTTTTCTGCCCTCTCTTTCTCTACCTCCGAATCGCTTGTGCTTCTCCTCCTGCGCTTCTTGCTTGCTTGTGGAACTCCTTCTTTCCTCTTCTCTCCGCCGCCCCCTTCACGGAATCGATAACAAACTGCACGATGAACGCTTTCTGACGGGGTTACAACATGGTTGGAGTTATAGTCAACTACAGTACAGTAGTCGACTGCTGCTGCTGTGTACTACTACTACTGCCGCCGCGCCAAGTTGATCATGTCATCATGTCGCCTGGCGACCGGGTCTAGCCACGAGGATAGCAGGTAGCTTGTTCTTGGAGCGATGACAGCACATCTACCACCTTGCAGACAGCAAACACTCGGGGTTGGGGAATATGGGGAGCAAAACAACAGCATCCACACGCTGCCAGGTGCACAACTTCACGACTGCTGTACAGCCGAGTGTAAAGTGTATTGCTATAGCCCGGCCACCGGCCACAAATGCACAAGAAAAAAGAAGTAACTGTGGTTCTCCTCCGAACCGTCGTGGTTCTCTGTTGGAACCCCCGAGTGTAATCTCCCCGCCTCACCGCCTCACAGACTCACCCTGGCGCGCAACCCGCAACCCGCCGCATCATCGTCTTCTTTCATCCTTTGCACTCTTCCTTAGTCTCGTCTACATTCTTTATATGTGTCGTTGCATCGAGTGCTTGGACGTCCTAACCTCGTTTCAAGTGGCGCACTAGTCGGAGGTACTTCCACTCAGGGCACCCCTCTGTCGTACGTAACCTTTTCGCATCACTGATGCTGCTGTGATCAGAGCTGTGCGGAAGTCAAGCTACAGCAGTCCTCCCGCCGCTGTTGATTGTCTCCTGGAATGGAGAACGGCGATTCACCTGCAGCGGAAGAAGGGAGCGGCAGAGGTGCAATAACTTGTTTCTTCGAAGCCTCCCTAGTGCTGGTGTCCTGCGCTGTGTTCTACAAGTTCGCATGGTGAGAGAGCGGGGGCTGGAGGTATTCAGCCGCAACGAGTCTGAAACACTTGTCCGCGGAGGTTCGGAGCTTCCTGTGCACGTCAAGCAGGACAGGATACAGTATACCCAATGAGTAGCGTAGCCGTGCAGTTGCACGACAGCTTTATCGCTTTACCAAGACAACCACACAGAAACAGCCAAGTGAATCAGCATGCCTCGCCCCGGTGGTCTAGTGGGTAGCCTCGCAGCCTGCTAAGGGCCAGGTCATGGGTTCGAGTCCCGGCAGAGAGAGTTTTTTTCTCACTAAATAAATCCTGGTCTAGGATGAAAGCNCCCCCCCCTCCCATGTGACCCCGGTTGGGTCGTCTAGCTAGTAGAAGTGGAGGATAGGGGCCAGAGGGGCAGACGACAGAATCCGATGGTGGGAGGAAATAAATAAATATATATATATATACATATATACAAGTACCGGTCGCCCCGGTGTTCTAGTGGGTAGCCTCGCAGCCTGCTAAGGGCCAGGTCATGGGTTCGAGCCCGACAGAGTGAGTTTTTCTTGCTTATTAAATCCTGGTCTCCGTTGGAAGCGACGCACTGCGTTGTTAGTCAACTTGATCGACTTCATAAGTCGCGAGGGAAGGGATTGCTGTGCCCTTCTCGCGATAAAAATATCTCAGGCAGGAACCGCAGGAGGGGGTCCAACCCCCCCCTCTTATGTGACCCCGGTTGGGTCGTCTAGCCGGTAGAAGTGGAGGATAGGGGCCAGAGGGGCAGACAATAGTGTCCAATGAAAAGCCGGTCGCCCCGGTGGTCTAGTTAATATCTTCGCTACCTCCTAGAGGTTAGGTCAGGGGTTCGAATCCCGGCGTAGGCGAGCTTTCCTTGCAAAGTGAGTTTTTCTCTCGCTTCCGCTCCTGGCCTTGTGGATAGCGAGTTCGTGTGTACACAGAGGGAAGGGAATGCTGAACTCTTCTCGCATTAAAAATCGAATACAAAGTACCGCAGGAGGGGAGGGTAGAGAGGGGATCTTCTGTGTGACCACGGCGTGACGGCGTGGAGAAAACGGCACTAGTGCTGCGAGCGCTAATTTGAAGTGAAGAAAAAAAAAAATGATGGGAGAAAAAAAAAAATAGCCGGTCGCCCCGGTGGTCTAGTGGGTACCCTCGCAGCCTACTAAGGGCCAGGTCATGGGTTCGAGTCCCGGCAGAGTAAGTTTGTTTCTAATAACATTGTTGTTGTAAATAAATCCTGGTCTTCGTTGGAAGCGACGCGCTGCAAAGCTCGTTGTTAGTAAACTTGATCGACTGCATAAGTCGCGAGGGAAGGGATTGTTGTACCCATGAAAACATCTCAGGCAGGAACCGCAGGAGGAGGTCCAACCCCCCCCTCCTATGTGACCCCGGTTGGGTCGTCTAGCTAGTAGCAGTGGAGGATGGGGGCCAGTGGGGCACACGACAGAGTCCAATGATGGGAGAAAAAAAAAAATTACACCGGAGACCGTGAAACTTGGACGACCCCCCGTTTCATCGCCCCCCATCCTTCCTCCCAGGTTGTACTACCGCGAAAGGTTGTTCCCTCACCACAGTTTCGCTGCAGTCGCAACCACCACTACCGCCTACTCTGCCAGTGGGGATGTGCTCTCGCTCAAGGCGGCCGGACGAGCTTTCTCTCTTACTTTTGCTCTCTCCTGCTGTATATTCGAGGTCAGTGAGCTATCAACATGGCTTCCGCATCATACCAATGCAATGAAAAGACCATGCGATGCATCTGTTGCACAATTGTAGTGTTGTAAATTATACCGGGCATGTGGTGGGTCCTTGGTGAGTAAATCCCCTCGACCAGGCTTTCTCGCGCAAACCCTTGCCTGCTTAGTCAGCAGAACACAACGTTAACGTTAGTTCTCAACGGCGAAGCCTATTGCAGACAAAACGTCGACAGTATCTTGTTGGGCAACACCTTCTGTCCGATGTCAGAAAGGCTTACCCATTAGACTACTCAAGTCAGTCACCTATTGCAGACAAAACGTCGACAGTATCTTTTTGGGCAACGCCTTCTGCCCGATGTCAGAAAGGCTTACCCATTAGACTGCTCAGTTATGGCTGACTGAGTAGTCTAATGGGTAAGCCTTGCTGACAGAATATACTCTCTCAGTCGTAGCCACCCGGCTGGTCACTGGGATTTAGAAGTAGGGATCTCCGGGGACGGACCCCTCGCCAGGCGCTGCCGGAAAAATAACTAATGATGCTTGTGAAAGTAACCAGCCGGAAATCGAACCCGTGCGTGTATCCGTTGTTAGAAAGGCTCTGCCAGCTGACTGAGCAGTCTAATGGATAAACCTTTCTAACACCCGACATGTACCGGTCTTGTCTCCACTGTATGCCGGTCAGTTGATGGCGTTGCTTTGTTTGGTGCCTCGGTAGGTCGATGAATCCTTGCAACCCTTCTCTAGCTCGAGTGTTTTGTTTTGCCCCTCCTGGTATTCACCCCCATCACTGAGATCAACCATTATTAGGGGACACGATTGCCACGTGACCTCTGTGTGTCACTTTCACACCCGTCGGGTCTTCTCCACCCTTCGGGCCCACTCTAAAATGTTTTGTTCATATATGTTTTGCGGCCCATTACTGATGCCTACCAGCTCATCATCTTAGAAATCGCGGGATGGCTTAACCCAGCCTCGAGCCCGCTAGCCTGGAGAGCGTGTCTGAGTCTCATGGTTCTTGGCCTGCACGTGGTATTGCCCTTCCTCTTGGCGTTCGCTTGCCTGGGAGAGGTGGGGCTCGGCCGGTGAGCTAAACAAATCCATCTTTGGAGCGTAATGTTATCGTTGCTGTTCTTGATAATGCGAATATTCTTGGGGATGATGGTGATCGTGCTGTGGTGGTGGTTCCCATACCGTAACGGTACATAGTTCTGGTTGCTCGTTTTGTTTGGTGGTCGAGGCGGACGTAGGCGTAATCGAAAACTCACAAATTTGTTGGCTGCTCCTGACCCTTCTGACTCCCCCACCCCCCCGCATCAGACGGCCCGCCTGCGTGGGCGCCCTGATACTACTCTCGGGGATCCTATTCGTGGCTTCAGGCTTAGGACACCAGGACATTCCAACATCACCACCATCATCGTCAGCAGCAGAAGCAGCAGCACTAGCGGGGCGGCCACCGGTGTTTTCGCTTGAGGTGGCGGCTTGCTTGTGTTCCGTTTGCTCAATATACCCCAATCGCGTCTTCGACGTACTATTTGAAATTGTCGATGACTTGCATGCATGTTATGGGGCCGTGAGGTGGGGCATCGCTGTTCGGGGCTTCCCTTTCTTCTACAGCGAAGTCCACGGAAGCAATTCCGTTGTCGTATCTGGCCCACCGCCCTACGCACGTCATGTTGTCCCCTCCCGCCAGCCTCGTGCATGGTCTTCGTCGACTTTTCCCGCCCACCCACACACGCTGGCTTACCTTTGTCTGTGTTTAACACCTTCATCTGCTTTGAACGCGACCTCTCGCTGACCTCGAACGCTTACTCCTGAGCTGATACAACGTAGGTTTCAATGAACGCCACACTTACGGACTATTTTTTAGCCGTAGCAGCAGCCTCGACACCCACCCCTCTCACCAAGTGATGACCGGCCTTCCTCTCACGAAACGGAACGTGGTATGTATGTGCAACCCAGGCTGGCCTGGCGAGGGTGGGGGTAGTTGGAGTGGCATCGCTTGCCCTTCTCAGCGGCTTCGGCGCTGTCAATCTCCCATATCAGCTGCTGGCGACGCTCCTGCGTACAGTGCCCCACAGGTCGGTTTCATTGCGCGAGTAAATCGCCAGGTCTCGCACCATATGTTGAGGGTAGAATACCCAGCTAGGGTTCTCTGCCGCGTTGTGACTCTAGCTTTCCAAAATTCCGCACACGTAACCTGCGACGATGGCGCGTTCATTCCATCGCCATAGTCTCATGCTCTTCGTTGTTCTTTGTCTTCCGCACGATGCATAGAAAAGCGGGTTGCACGCTGAGGCGGGGTTTGTTTAGGACGTGCGGGTTTTACACCACCACAGCCTACTCTTGTAGCTTAGCTTTGGGCGTTTTCGTTTGTGTTTTGCTCTCGCTGTCTTCTCTTGGTCTTTTGAGTCTCAGGAAGCCGTTCTTGGGGCGCGTTTCTATCACTGTCTTGAGCTGAAGGGGCATTTTTGAAGGGTCGGGGGGGCGGGGGCGTCTGCGGCGCTCGAGACCACGGGACAGAAAATCTTTCTCGTAAGTGTCGATGTCTACTCACCTGTTGCACGTGCTAGACAACCCCGCGCGAGGCCCCGCGTTAATGTCTCATCCTTGCCCTAAAATTAACAGTGTCGTCAAGTCGCGGGAGAGGAGGGCACGCCTCACGCTCAAGGACATCGGGCAACGGAAACGCCGAGCAGCGATATCCTCTTCCTCTTACGCCGTGCGAGGCGGAAACGGGGCAGGAGCCACTCCCGGCGGCAACGTTTACGGTTACGGGGGATCGGCGGCAGCAGCGAGGGCGGTAGGCTCACCATCGCAACGCGGTAGCCTGTTCTCCAGGATGATTCGGGCGTTGACGGCAGTGGTTCCCGGGTTTTCTTCTACTCCCTCGGGGAACGCGGCCTCTTTCTCGTTTGCCGCACAGGCTGCAGCGGAGGTCAGTTTGGTGGATACCCAGACGGTGCTGGGGAGCAGTTGGTTGGGGGGCCTATTCATGTGTTCTTACGTTTTTCTGTCCAACACGCCGATTTCGTTGCTGCTTGAAGTCTGTCCTTTCTCGGGTGGTTTTCTCTGTCCCCTCTCGCGCGGACAGGCACGACGGATTTCGTTCGTGTCGGAAACCCAATGCTGGTTCGTTCCTGGTCTCTGAGAGTGGCGCCTGTCAGCATCGGAAACGTTCTTCCTGTACTGTTACTTCTGCTCGCGGCGGCTGCCTTGTTTTTTTTATCGTCGTTCCACCGTTTCGTGGTGTTTTGTTCGGGTGGCAGGCCGAGGCGACGGCCAGCCTGGAGAAAATAGCCCGGGACCTGTTCCTGGAGATCTCTGACTGCCGCCGAGTGAGATGCAGGGCGCGTGGAGGAGGGGGCAACGGGGGGGGAGAGTTCGCAAAAAATAGTCGTTTTGGATCGAAACATTTTGTTGGTGTTTCGGCTTCCTCGTTTCGGCTCACCGAAGTCAGAGAACGAGAACCTCCCCCATGAGACAAGCCACCCCGTCGGTGCCAGAAGGTTGTAGACGAACCAGCATGTACATGTACACCCTTACAGGCGAACTGTTAGGCTCCAGATAGCCGTTCCGTGCGACATCGCCGTACTAGTCACATTTTTTTCACAGGTGACGTTAGTTTTGTACCCTATCGCCCCCATCTCCTCGCACGCGGGTTAGAGCTGATAGGAGGGGCGCGCTCGTTCTCGCATGCAAGAAATCGTGCTTGGCGTGCAGAGGTATAAACGGCTATCCCGCGACGAAAGCCAGGTGTATGTCTGGTTTGCTTGTATCAGTGCACAATGCTGAGCCACTCGGTCTTCCGCCTGCGTATCGGGTATGGATCGGCGTGACCCTCTTGTTTGTCGCCTTTTGTTTCCGTCTATGACTGCATCTTCTTTTGGGTCTCGTTCTCGGTGCATGTCGTCTTGTTGACGTTGGTCTCGTCCGTCGTTTGTGCAGATCCAGGATCAACAGCGACGGGCAAGGACCCTGCCTGGACGCATCCTCGTAGTCTTTGGGTGAGATCAAGTGCATTCTGCGCACCATAGGCGCCATATGCTTGTCCAAGTGCGACCCTTCCTCTTTTCTTTCTTCCATGTTGGAACTCCCTGAATCATTTGTGTCTTGCCTTCTCTTTCGGAGGAGCTCCAATGCGTGTTCACACAAGCAATTCCTCGGCGTCATATGCATGTTTTTGTCACGAGAGGGCTTCAGCAACCCCCTTATATCCATCAACAATCATGTCGAACGCTGTTACGAGCAAGCGGTTACTCAACATGTTTCACACTCTGGGATTCGAACCCACGACCCTTGATACGCCGAAGATTTCGAGGACATGGATCTGCCACGGAACTACCCGTTGGAGCCAGTCAAAACCGGACTCTGTAGTTTGTTCTTTTGGATCGTTTTTGTATCTTGGACTGATTTCTTCGGGAATATCGGGGAGAGGATCACAGCAGGGTATGAACGCCTGACGTATGCACACCATTAGGCCGCTTTGCAAGGGCGAGGGTTTTGGAACGCCGTAAATGATGACCTTCGACCTGGACAAAATGGATTCGATTCATTTCCGACTGCGTAAGAAACAATTTTTTGGTCCGAGCCGAAAAATCTACACTTCTGACTTCGGCGAAAGATTGTTTATGAAACGGCCATACAGTCGAGATCAATCATTTCGCGCTGTGTTGTTACGACGTTGGAAGTAAAAAAAATTGTCGAGTCCCACGGATAATGAGAATGCGATGTACACGGGTAATTAGGTTTCTGTAAACCTCTTAATCTAGATACTGTTTGCGGAATGCTCACTTTACCCACAGCAATGGTACGTAGTGCGCACGGCACGGCTAATAATGTATGTATCGGCCTCTCGCGACGCTCTCCTGTTGCTTTTACATAGTACCACTCCTTTGTTCGGCTAGATTGGTTCGGAAAAGGAAATCCCCGTCACGCTCACGCTCATTCCCCAGTCAAACTGTTTTTCTTGTTTTCGGCCGCTGTGGCCATCATGCCTCCATCACTTGTCTCGCTTTTCTCTCACGAACCTTCGCTGAAAAACAACCACAGCGCGGGGATGTTCGTGTACTGCCTCCTGCGCTTGTTCAAAGCCGCGGTCGCGGTTTTCTGGGCCGTCCCTTCCCCGTCCGGCAGCGGCCAGGACGCGGTGGATGGAGGCATGTCTGGAGGGGAGGGGCCTGACCCCGCGACCCGGTTGGTGAGGTTCGCGCTGAACCGCCACCTGCTCGTGAATGAGGGAGACGCCGAGGGGTGGAGCGAGGTACTGTACGGTTTTGACTTCGGTTTTGGGTCCACGTCGGTGTCCCGTCTCGACGCGTGTGAGTGTTTCTTTGATTGTCTTCGGCTGTGCTAACCGGCTGGCCAATATTAAGACGTCAGGCTTACGGCGGGACGAAAACGGGAAGACGTATTCTGGTCAGCGGGTGCTTGTGTGAGGGTGTGCGTTTCCTTAGTTAGCATCAACTTCTAGAACCGGCTGCGTGCACGTTGAATGTGTTCATGTGGCTTGTCTGTAGCGCCATGTGTGGTGCGTCGATGTTCTTGACGCTGGACAACAGTAACCACCGTAGTGGCCACTCGTGTTCATGCAGAGGGTGGCGCGAATGCTCTCGGACAAGAACGGTCGGATTAAAATCGATACACATCTTTTCGAATCAGTTTCTGGACAACCGCCTTAGCAGCAAGCGCATATCCACGTATTCACGCTATTGCATTATTGAGTACTTCCCTGTCATCAACTTTGAATTCTAACGTGTGTGCGGCAACTGACATCCTGTTTCAAGCCAGCATTGGCAACCTTTCGAAAGTGCTGGCTCGTCCATTTGATCGTCTTTGTCCGCTTGTGCGCGTCGGCCTTGGTGCTCTTGTTGCTGCCACAGCTGGTGTCTTTCGTTCTGATTGGCGTTTTGGTCCTCCTACAGACGAGAGGCTTTCTCGCCACAATCACTACCGTGTCAAGAGCTTCTGTTATCAGCGGGTGAGTTGCTCCTCTTCATGCCGACGTCCAACTCCATACCTCAACCTCCGTCTCTCTCTCCCTCTAATTCCGGGTGTGGGGGGGCGGCGAGAGATTTTTTCCGCCCGAGGTGATTGGTCCTGTTGGAACAACGCTCCGTCCTCTCGAGGACGCGTGGTCAGTGGTCTTACAGCTAAGGCTTACAAAACATTAGTACTCCCCCTCCCATGCCAGAGTATCACTACTCCCCTCTGGTAGAAAACCCTCTCAACAACAATATCTGCCCCCCTCGCCCCGTCGTTGCCGCCCTCCTCGTGGACCCTCCTTCCCATCTCCCCATGTTCCCCGCCTGACCCGCGCGAGGACGACAGGTTCTCGATACCCGCGCAGGTGCTATCGTTGCTCTGGTCCATGCTGATGGGCACGTACTTCACCTCGAGCGTTATCTTGATGCGCGTGAACCTTCCCCCGAGGCACCGGGTCGCGATCACGGCTGTGCTTGGCGGGATGAGGTAAGGTTGTTGCCCGAAACGTAGGCGACACTAAGGTGTTTACAGAGCCGAAGGGCGACAGATAGCACCGCAGCGTGCTACGGGAGAAATCTGTACTCGATGCTCTCAAGATTTCCAACGACCGCGATCGATGGAGTGAGTCTTCCTGTGCTTCGGAGTTTATGGCTGTAGGTCCGCTATTTTGCAGTCATCTGTATCGGTCTCGTCTGGGCGCCTCGTGTGCCAGTTCCCGTTAGTAGGGGTATGAGGGTGTTGTTCTCTAGTGACATGAGACCGCCACCTGTAAGACTGTGCTGGTCCGCGCGAAGCTCTCCGATTTTCACGACGTGTTTGATCCGAGGGTTTCCGCTGCGTTCAGGTTCCCGTCTTTCAACGTTACCTCTTCGTTCTCACGAGCGCTGAGTCGGAATCGGGCGCAGCTACGACGGCATCGGTAGTGTGCCCTCACAGGACTACCTAACTGCCCGCCGCCGCTATTATGACGCAATGTTGCAATATCACTCCTTGTTTCGTGGACACGCGTAACGGCACAGGTTCAGCTTCTACCAGCGGTGGTTCGACACCGTGTTCTTGATCTCCGGCTGCGTGACCGCCGTCACGCTCCTGGCGTTCCACCTCGCCAACCGAAACAGCGACGCGGACCACCACGAGGACGTCCATAACGATATCACCCGCCACCAACCATCGCTAACAGCAACGGAAACTACAAGAGGCAGAGGGCAGCAGGCAGAAAATGCGTACGGAATAGGGGCGGGGGGCGGGGGGTTCGGCGTTGTTGCTAACCCGCGCGAAGGCGGCGGGCCGAGCAACAGCGGGGGCGGGGGCTATTACTCGAAGGGCGGCGAACCGTCCGCGGTTCGGCCTAGAGGGAGACGAGCAGTGGACTTGTCGGGCTGGGACTACAACACGTCTTTTTTTTCAGCGGGCAGGGGTGGAGGCGGTGGGGTTTCCGGTGGCAAGAGGCAGGCGGGTGGTGGTCGAAGATCGAAGGAGTGCTAGCTCTTGTCGCCAATGCGGCGTCTGCAGGCTGCAACATGTTCACGAGAACGATTGTGTTCGCGGTACATGGACGTTTGCTGACGTCAGGTTGGGTCTGATGGGTTGAATGGTGTTGGTATTGTGTGGTGTTGGCTTGAAGAGATACACGCAACCGTCCACGGTCCATAGGTTTGTTTAGTTGTCTCTTTTCATTCCGTTGGACGGCTCTCGTAGGTTCTACCATGTACCGCTCGATCTTGCATCGCCACGTATCCGAGGAGTCCCTATCGGGGTAGACGAGAAGTCCTTTGTGGAGGAGCCTTCATCCCTACCGCGATAAGGCTCCTATGATCCCTAGCATACATGAACACGCTGGTGTATACAGTGGATTTTGCTCCATCCCGATGTCGATGCTGCATTATTTTGTCAACAGAACACCGGACATTTTAAGCCATGCCACAAGAAGGGTCGGAGGTAAAAACATCTCGACAGCAACGACGAGGCGCCTGGAAATCGACGACAGATTGAGCGGATGCTCCATCTATGTAGCCAGACACGAAATCCTATCACCCGACTAGCGGTCGCGAGTCCCATCAGCCCCCCCCACACAAGACGCTCCACATTTCTACAAGTTGGGGCTCCAAGCGGAGCTCGAATATCACATGGCCAATGGGCTTTATCGGTCCCCGGTTCGTACATCCTCCCAGCCTTTTGGTGCTGGGACATGGGTACGACTCTCTGCGCAGTCATACTTAACAGTAACTGGGTTTCTTCCCACGTCATGCCCAACAAGTGGACAGCAAGCGCACACAAGAACTTCGATACCACGACGAAAATGACGGCTGAATCTATTTAGGGATAGGGAATGCTGGCAAGTGAAAAGAAGTCCGAGGACGAAAGCAATTCCAAACGACCTTTTCTCGTGAATGCGTGCCCACGGCTGGCCCGCCCACATGAACCACGCGCTCTAAAATTCAGAATACGTGTAGAACGCGAGAAAATATCACCGAGCAAGAACCACCTGGTACCATTACCTGACAGATATTACTGAGCAGAATTCAATCCATTTCTTGTTTCAGGCAACTTGTTTCACGGGGAAAAAATATTGTATCGTCCCTGGATGTTTGCTGCAACTACTGAAAAATATCGGCAACTACTGCCTTGGTGATACTACTAATTAATATTAACCTATGAGTTTTCCGCAAGACAGCACGACGAGAGGGATATCACAGCGCGGCAAAAACTCCTATTTGTGCGACGAAGAGGACCCACTAAGGCTGTCACCATTACTCCCGCGTGCATGTGCCTTTGCCCTCCTCAGCTTTTTCGCTTCGCCGACCATGAGAACGTAGAAACGGTCGTAGTCTGTGGTAGCCAGTAGGATCTCGATGAAGAACCTGTGCACGTCAATTGATGTCCGGCTGATGATGGGTTGTTACGCGTGTCAGCAACAATGCGGGCTGCTGCAAACCAAACCCAAAAACGGAGAGTGATATATCAGGTTGTGAAAAGACCAGGCGAAATCATCCAACAGTTGGACTTCTTCGGGTAGTGCTACGTAAATAGCGCCCAAAATTGATAAGCTTAGTATGAAAGTAACAACTACCCTCCACTGCATCCCGCATTGAGGTGCGCTTTATGTCGCACATAACACGCGGTGCAATCATTTTTCTTTCTCTGCTCCATGTCCCCACGACGCCTAAAGAGCCGACGTCGCAAGCAGGAAAGGAGGTTTGGTGTGGAATGGACCCTGTGGACAGAGCTTGTCGTGATCATGTTGTTCAGCGTCAATTGCAAGCTCTGCCATTGTTGAAGGAGTGAAGCTGGAAAATATCCCTGTCTGTGCTTCAAACTAGGTAAAACGCCGCATTCTACGCGACGACGTGATGACGGCTTAGCAATGCTGCCTCTACTACTCACTCCGTTGTTGTTGTAACTAGTCCCGTACCAGGACAAGATTCGAGAAGACGAATCCCTTCATAATCGCTAGCATTCCACAACGCAACCAGCGATGGAAAATCTACCAATCGCTGTTCCTGATAATGAAGTACGATTTGCGCTCGGAACAGAAACCAACCTTCGAGGAGAGAACTCCTCTAGCGTTAGAAGAGCTTCCTTGCACTCCTGCTGGAACTGCTCCACTGTCCCCCCCGCCTCTTCCTCGATAAACCCTGGGACAGAATTTGCCATGTAGAATAAGCTGACAAAGTGTCGATGGTAAAGTCATGAAGGATTACCTAGACTTGTCCACAGGGTTAGTGGTCCACACGAACCCACCAAAAAAGGTGCCGCTGGACCCCGCTCAATAAACTGGAGCTCGCTCGAACATGCGATACCAAGCCCACCCCCCGAGAAAATTGGACGAATGCAGAAAAGTAGGGTCGGGTTTTGGAGGATCTTTGCTACTCTGTGGGTAAGAGCTGTGGAGGTTCCAGCTCACGAGCTCACACCCTTTGGTGTGATTACCCCTGCCTATTTATACGAATACATTCCGCCGAAAGAGTAATCAAACACCCCTGCGGCGTGTAGTGTTCAAATCGATGGATTGTAGGCATGCATACGATCCAGGAAAATGTGTACCATGGTATTGTATTTCGCTCCTCATGGGACACTTTTTTGTACAGCCGTTCGTAGTGGGTCCATGAAACGCATGTCCCATTTTGCTTCATCAATGGTAACCCTAAGAGAGAGCTGACAGGTTGGTGCCATAAGCAATGCTGATGCCACCGTTGCACATCACCGAAGAATTCGCCCTGCAAATGCTTTCCGAAGAACAACACCCGCTTGCGGTTTCCAAATGCGCCAGTGATGAATAAGTTGCTTCACTCGTTGTGTGTTCCGGTTGGTGCCGTACACCTACAAATGTGTACACGTATCGAAGACAAAACTAGTTGTCAAAAATTACCTGAAATTTTGTCTTCGAAGTGTGTCAAGAATAAGTTGTACACCTCCGTGAACTCGAGTTTGTGCTCCACCTCGGCTGGTGATGTCCACTGCCCCTCGTCCGCGGTGTTTAAGAACGGCTCGTGGTGCTTCCTATATATGGTACGGTTGGTTTGTTGAACACAACAATCACAATATAGTTTGTATGAATCCACCCAAAGATCAAGGCAATGAGAACGCGGGAAACCGGTGCCGTTGTGAAACATGCAGGAAACCAAACAGCCTCGTTAGTCATAAAATCATCGTGACGGTTCATCTGCCGAAGTTCTTCCAGAACAGAAGAACATGCATGCGTTCATTCTCCGCAGAACGTTCATGCAGGTGTCGATGGTTGTTCCAATCTCCTGGGAGAGCCTTTCGAACCCGTTGTGTCTATCTCGGAGTCTTCACAAATGGGGTGACTCTATTGTTGTGGGGACTACCGTAACGTACGTGTACCTNCCCCCCTCTAACCCCCCCCCCGGGCTGGGTTTTCGTCGCTTGGCAACGACGTTGTAAAACAAGCTGATCACTTCCTGAGCTCGGCAACCAGGTTACCGCATTCTTTTTTCCCTTTGTTTTTTTTTGGCGGTAACCATAATGGTGGTCGAGTAGATTATGTTGTGCGTGGTCGAGAACTCTCACTCCGCGCGAAGGGGACAATCGCACTACGTTGTGTTAAAGCGGTCAAGCACCCTCCAGGCAGTTACACAGTGCTTACAACTGTCTGGAAGTGAAGCAACCAGAAAATAAATTCAGTCATACGCAGCTGTCATCCGTACGCAAGGAAGTAAGCGCATGATGCTGAACAGCCTTAGCAGGATGCAGCGCACCCTTCATGCGACTC